ACGTTGCAGAAGCTTCAGTCGGCCAGACTATCCTTGGTCTATCAACTATCACTAAGAGTGGTAAATGTATGGAGCTGGTAGTAGTGGCGGAGGGAGTGACTGTCGTTCACCAAAAGAGTTAAAGATCGCTATTGTCTGCCCGTTATAAAAAGAAGGTTCAAGAACGGAACCAGTGAGCTATTGTACTGCGAGTCTTGTGTAGTGATTGTTTCACAGTCTCGCTTTTTCCCAACCATTATCTGTCTCGGCTGTCATTGGATGCCAAAGAATTCGAACTGGTGTCAAGTGTAACATATATGCTAGCCACCGCAATTTACTACGTTCGAGAGGGTGGAACAAAAGTTCAGTGACCAAGACACTCCCAGATCCCGTGTATATACGGTTCATGCCTGGATGCACAGCAAGAAGATGCACAATTAACCTCGAGGACGACCGTCAGCATACGACGACGAACCACTTCATGGATCCCTGGATGATCCCACCAGACTAGGCTTCGAAGGCATGGGTATTCAAATGCAACAAATTGGAGCATAAGTTTGGCCTTGGTAAGTTTTCCGGCATCCTGCATCTTCCCCGTACTCTGTCATCCAAATGGACATTCAAAATAAAAACTGTCCAGCAGACTTCGAGATAATTCGAGCTTCATGACAGTAATAATATAAACTGAATTCACAAAAGAGAATCACTACATTTGTGAACCTATTTGTTATTATAGACTCCGATATCGAAAATAACGATTGCTTATCTTTAGATTCAACCCTGTTATAAATCCATCTTTGTTGGGATTGCGCCTATTGGTGAGCGTTCATTCATAACTCTGATCAACGCTTATTCGCTAAATTATATCAATCTATATTTCTTATCTTCTTTTGTTTCCCTATCTTCATTCTGACTAAGTTTATCAAATAACATTTTTACAATCTCACTCCGTTGTCTGATGAAGCCGTCTAAAGATTAGTTTACGAACTTCTGTGGTGACCAGTTGCATTTTTGAGTGGAACTACCCGGGCCACCTGCAATACTGTCCTGTTTCATAAAGTTGTGTCCATTTTCATGTGAGTCGATGATTTATTTGCAGACGCGATATTTCCAGGTTGCCCGAACAAAAGCAACTAGTTTTCCGAGGGATTTACGGTAGGATCCGTAATCACTCTGTGCGTTCATTTCCATTCATCCAACCGTTCTTGGTTCGGGTGTACATTATGCTCCTCGAACGTCTACAGAGCTCCCTATCCTCCCAATTTGGAAATATCTTTTTTCAAAAAGGGATCAAGCATCGGAGATGCTTGTTAGTTAACTTGGAATTCAAGCTGTTCTTCCAAGTGCCATCATGGCTTCCCTAGAATTATTTTTTTTGCGAGGGTTAACTTGTAAATTATCTTCAGCTGAAACGTAATCCATCATGTTTGCACAATAAATTATGCAGGTCCGTCACCCTCTGCCTTCAAAGGAATTTGTCATCAGTCACTTCAGCAAAGTGCCCAATCGTAACTCTTCCTGAAACAACGATGTGAATGCAGTTCCAATCGCGGTTAACCTGATCTTCAAATATTTAACCGAATGGCCGAAAAAATAACCGTTCATCAACTTGGGTTTGTGAAATCAGAATTCCACGGCAAAACGTAAGTGGCTGAACAAATTCGATTGCATGGGAAGGAGGGATTGATTAAAAAACCGTTTCGAAAAGAAAACCCCGTTTCTCAAAATTAAAGGTAATATTTTCAGAAAAAAGATAGTCAATATCACAATTGATAAGTCATGTGGGGCAATACAAGGCAGTATTTCAATTGGTTAATCCAGTGAAGGCGTAGTTGTAAAACTGGTGGTGATTGTTTTTTTTCTTGGGTCGTTTTAATTTCACCGAACAGTAAATAGTACTTATCATAAACACAGCCATTAAGCTCATCCATCAGGAGCTATCCATCTGCCGATCAGATGTATATGACATATCGGGTAAACTGTAAGAAATAGTGGAAACGGGGATTTTTATTAAAGATAGGGTTNGAAAATAACATTGGAAAAAAAACATTTGTCCAAAACGTAGAGTTTTTCATGGTTCTCTTTGTCTAGCCTAATGTGCCGTGTGAAACGTTAACTGCTTGACATCCAGCAATTGAATTCCGAATTGCTGTTGATAGCCACCTTTCTCTTGCCTTTTACAGACTGTAGAATTTGTGTGACGCCTGTCACACTGATACAAGACACTGAGAAGGAAAACCAAAATAGAGCCCACGCTGTTTCTACGTACTAACTCGATACAGTTTCGATCCGGGTCTTGAGGCTCCTATCTGGTGGGAAGTTGCGAAGTTAGATTTCGGTTTACCGTTCCCATCGGTTATAATTGTTACCCAGGGTGAATTTTTCGGGGACTGGAACAGTACGAACAGGTTTTGCGGTTGAACTGTCGGTAGACAGACGATATAATATCTTGATCAACAGTGTCATGACTTCGGGAAGCGTGTGAGCTTCGTCTACTGGTGTGCGATCGGGATCATCTGATACTGTTTACTGAGTTCTTGGCGTGGCAGGGTCGCCAATTTATAGTATGTCTCTCACAGAAATAGAAGCCTCAAGAACAGGATCGAAACTTTATTGAGCTAATACGTAGCAACAGAGGTTTTTGCTGATTTGGTCTTCGTTCTCAGCATCTTGCGCCACTGTGCCAGGTGTCACACAACTTCTACAGTCTGTAAAGGGCAAGGGAAAGGTGGCTGTCAACAGTAATTCGGCATTCAATTACTGGAAGTCAGACAGTCGCGGTTTCACACTACAAATTTTTGCTTCCAAATCGAACAGACCTACTTAGTACTCATGACTGTTTCGTCATGAGATTTATATATAATTTTGATCAAAAACTACGGGGCGTGTTTGCTTGCTCAAACGGTTCACATCGGAGTGCCACACGAGGATCAGATGATAACAGCTTCATCGGACATGCGTCTGACAAACGTTATTTGTCCAACAGCGCGCTAAGTGCGAGGGAAACAGCAACTCCCAGATATTCAGGATGCAAAGCGCTTATGCAGTTGCTGAGCGTCCAGTGAGCGGGCTTCCGTCATGATCTGTTTAAACTGAGGACCTCAGTTGTGGATTTGTTTAACTGGAATCATTCAATCTATTGGATGGCTCTGTTTCTTTATACCGATATGGAACAGTTACAATAGCAAAATGTCTTCAAAACCCCCTGACACAATCAAGGTTACAGATGCGGAAGATCAGAACATTATATTGCCATATATTCTCAAATATGCTGTAGCAGATGTCGAAATGTCACCTTTTGTTCATATTTCATCCCAAATTGATGGAAAACGACTGTCATTGTTTCCATAGCCAAGTAAATATCCACCATTCTCGAAATTATTCCCTCTTGTTTGTCCCACCTCAAAGGATTTGAAATTCATTGAGGATTCCATTCTAATTTGACTCAGAATGCACATTAATTCTGATTCTCATCATGTCGAACTAGTTTATGATGTGTTTAAATGGTGAATTTGTCGTGTAAATGAGGTGTAAACTGGGATGTACAGAACAGTTGTTTCCACCTATTTGGGTTTCATTAGCAATGCAAGTCCGTTGACCCAACTGGAGATCGAACCCGGGACCTTATGAGGTCGAAAAATGTGCTGTTTCTTCACCTTTTCTTTTCTTTACTTTTATCAGCAATCCCCCAGGAACTGTAGTTAAGTACGATAATGATGTAACCGTATGTGACAAACGCTCAGGAGTTCAATTATCCTTCTGATGATTTTCAAGGAATTTCGAATTCATCCGAACAGAATGACCCTTTTCTCATCTCGTCTGATTGCCTCAGCAGTACTCGTACTATGTTCCACTTAGTGTGTTTGCAAATGAATCATCCATCCTTCACACCGTTTTTTCTGACTGAGTTGAATACGCTGGGTACGCTGTTGTGGCTTTGAATGTCAACCTTCAGTGTCCACCAAAGTGCTGAATTCACTGTGATCCTTAACTATACTCACTTCCTCACTGATTTATATCAGTCGTATTCTATCGCTCCTCTGTCATTTTCCCAGAATGATGTCAAACTGTCACCATTGTGTATTCTTTTAACCAGTTATGTTTTCTTTTCTCTGTTCTTTGATTTGGTTATCAAGGTGTGATTGGCACAGTAATGCATGTAGAGCATTTGCTTGATAAATTCTCGACACCATATCGGTTGGGCTTATCAGGATCCATCAAGGTGCCACTCTATCTGCAAATCTTCTCTTCTCCTCATCGTCAGTGATGCACTTCAGTTACATATTGGCAAAAAATCCCCAGGCTGAACCACACTATGCATACGCAACCTGATATTTTTCTCCTTGTACGTCAATTCGTAAACCGTTTTCTTATCATTGAAACAAGAGATTCATAAGATGGCCCAAATTCGCCTGGGATCAATGGGTGTTTCTGCAGGGATCGACCAGCGGGTTTGAAAAGATCATCAATCGGCATCAATAAAACTCAATCGATGCCAAGAGATAAACGGATCAAACTTACCTCCTCCAGACTGAAAACAGCACGCCCGTCGTTCAAACGTTCCTGGGCTTTAAATGTCTCCACCACGGTGACCAAGCGTACAAGCAGTAGGACGTAATCATCAAAGAGAATTTGTCCCTTGCGATTCGCGTATCGACACACAATCGCATTGTAAACACGATTGCTTACTCGGAAGCCTAAAATTTGAGTGTAAACAGCGGGAGCGGCAAGTTGTTATCTATCGAGTTTAGGAATGGTCCGAAATATCGCTTCATATTGTTTGCATGTTTTCATAGTCAGACCTGTTCAATCGAACATGTAAGCAAAAGAGATGTATTTAGTTTGGCGTATTGCTAGTCCAGTAGTCACTTAGTTTATTCAAACCGTGTCAGGGGGAGACTGTGCATTGTCACTGTGTTTGTAGTGCTCAATCTGAATGGGAATCTCAAAAGTGACGTGATCGGTTGATAAACATAGAGCCTTTAGTAAGTTATCGTGCAAAAAGAGATCATGCTTGAAAAACTGTGAGCTAAAGGCGAAAGAACCGGAACGTGGTTCTTATTGTCCTGTGAACTTCTATGTAAGTTTTTTGAGATTGGATTCTAAATTGAGAAATTATTCAGTGAATTCGAAGAAGTCAGATAAACCTTAAAATGATCCACTTTAGTTTTTGACACTAGCTTGAACACAGCTCATTGACCTCAAAACCGCACTTTGTTTTAACTGGCAATTGCGCAGCTGTTTCTCCACGTTTGTATAGAACCGTAACCGCTGATGCCCTCTCAACCAAATTCCTTGACCCTAACGGGCGAGCGACGATGAAGCGTGACACCGCACTGCTCCTCTGATTCCAAGCCAAAACTGTTTTTCGGATACTCGCGGATAATTGTCTCATGATGTCACCGACACAGATGGATCCAAAGGTATATTTTACTAATAAATAATTAATGAAGAATTTGGTAACAGAAGCTTATCCTCATTTTGGCACAATATCGCACGGTACTTTGTGAACGTTCATCTCATCTGGTCGTCGCTGAACGTTGCTTTCACGTGAACTCCAAAAGCTTTGATAACTTTTTCTTCCTAGCGTGCGCATCTGCTTTGTAAGGGAGCTGCAGAAAGGTTATTCCCCTTTCGAGCTGTGGTACTTTATCATTTCTTTTTGTCTCATCTCAATTACAATCTACGGATTTATCAGATATTTATTTTCCCGTGATAAATTCACGAAAACATTTCATAATCCATGTCAGTGATTTGCAAACAGGGATTGATTTTCACTGTGATGGTCGAATATTTTATCTAAACCTCCTGATTCATTTGTCAAAATTTATTTGGGATAATACCCACTGAACGTGTAACTCTTGGCTGTGTACTTTCCTGTTTGATTCGTCCTCAAGATGCTCTTCGGTGTGTATAAAAAAAAACAAGGAACGGCTTCACCTCAGTTTCGACGTCTTCTAACCTTTATTCCTAACTTTATTCCCAAGATGCATGCGAACTGATCGCGTGAAGGCTCTTTTTGATAATTCTTCTGATTTCACTCCTCCCTATTGACTGTGGTATTGCTAACTTATGTGTTGTTCACGCCGATCATTGTGTGGGTTGTGCAACGAGTACGCATACCGCATGGTACAACTTCCGAATAAGCAATCAGGAAACGGATTTACCGTCCAATCCTCTGGTCTCCAAACGGATTGACTGAATGCAAGCAGGCAACAAAATGAACCATATCGTTGTCGATTGGACATTGAAAAATCGATCAATGATTGTTGTATGTTTTGTGTTATTTATTCGCATAATTTTCCGAATTGAATTAACAGAGCTCCTGTTGGTTCCACCTGAGTTTGCAGTATTCAGTGAGTTTTCAGTTCGAATCCGAGTTCGCGCTATTCCATTCCGATTCCTATTCCGGATACTACAAAGGTCCTCGTTGCAAAACTCACGTGTTCTTCAAAACCTAATTCACCTCTTTGAAATTCTTATTTTTCAACTAGGCCCAGCTTTTGGCTCATTCCTGCTGGAATGAATATATACATTTGATGAGTTCTTGTGTCCATTAGTGATCGATTTCCTTGCAACAAAGAGCAGAGTTGCTACTGCGCTCCGATTGAAATCATTTTCCTATTTTCAATGTCTTTTCTCGTTTTGTCCGCTTGACTATTTTGTTAAATTTTTAAAGCAATGTCGACAGGCATGTCTACAAAATTGTCGTAATGTAATACAGTGTAAAACAAAGTAAAAATGCGATTTAAATCGACCATCATGGTGTCGTAATCCTGTTGTATGCACTGGGATCAGTTCACTAACAGATCAAGACAATTATGCGGTGTATATGGCCAAGGATTACGAAAATCCAATTATTCAATCAATTTGGACATTTCCGTCTGATCCAAATACGCGAAGATCACGAATTTCGATGAAATTTGAATCCACTTGTACGCATGCCTGTGTCTCAGCACAACGTATGCTCCACAAGCTGAGCCTCAGGGTTACATTTACCGCTCTGATCATTTCATTATTCACCCAAATAACAGAGCCACAGTGGACGCGTAAGCTAACTTTGGGTTGACCGCCAAGTCCAATGACCTCGCAACCAGCGGGGTTTATTCAATCGTCTTTTTACTATAGAATTTCATGAAGGTTCCCAAACCGAGTTTGCAATTGTCTGACGTCATCATGGCGCTCTTTCTCCGGGAATCCATTTTCATTTACAATTAGCTTTTAGTGCAGAACTCAGGGCTTGACAGACGAGCACCCACTGTGTGATGTGCTTGATACCTGCCTTACCTTCCGGTTAACATCACTGTCAACACAGAGGAATGCTTGAATCATAAACTTAGTATAGGTTGGGTCAAAGAAGACAGCTGTTTTTCCGGAATCGACTTATTGCATGCGAAAGGGACAAATTTGATGTGGAGCATCTTTTATGTTATTCTTTTGTCAATTGTGGAGTCAGTGGAGGTGTCCATAAGCAACCCCCGGAACGATTGTGACTACTCAAAAGTAATGTAAATTCTAAACATCGCAAGACTTATAAATATCATTACTAGTTTAACATTAAATTACTATGAGCAGCAAGAACATTACATCGTTCAACAGGGATGCAGTTGTCTAATGTAACCCAAAAATGTTTGCATATCAGTGGGAAAGGTTTCTTACGAAAAATCGAATCACATTCGATATTGTACCTCATCGAAGTGATCCCATATCATGTCCCCGACGAACCCGTATGCGTTCTTCAATCGTCACTTGATCCTAATCCAGAAAGCCTCTGCATTGGTTGTAGGATCGCCTATCGCAGGATGTACAAAGCCGTCAGAGTGATTGACACTTATATGGATGTACCCCAACGAAGTCAGCGATCGATAAGCCGCCCACTGTTCTGCATGAATGGTAGTCTCAGATGAAACCCAACGCTGTATTGTTGCAAGAAGAATTTCCGCGGATCTGTTATCCACTCGATGGAAATATCCATTCCTAAATCAGCGGTCGTACATTCCAAACATTACGACAAACAGTCGCTGCCTCCCTCGGCCATATTTGCCCTTCACGGCGACACTCGTCAACTTCGACAACAACCCCAGGTCCACCAAGCTGGGTTGTCATGAGACACAATGCCAAAGACAAATATCGCGGCAGTAAGTAAACTACCTTATTTCGTATCTCTTAGTGACGCTTGACATTACGGTAGCACGGGTTACGGGCTCTCCCATCAAAGTGCGATTTGGACTTCTCGAAAAATGTGCCCCCTAGTATTGCTATTTCACTTTTTGTACTACGGGCATGAAAATGTATGTCTATCAATGCCAGACTGCAACTCCTGCTAACACAGGATGCTTCCGCATACACAGTTTCGTCCATTTTTTAGTAATCCTCTGTCCTGCATATACTCGATCCAGACTGCAACTTCAAATTCGTTCGACCTACACAATATGCTTTCAAGGCCACACTTTTAAACAAATGTGACTCAAATTAACCTTTATACACCAGTGGCATAATGCGAAGAAAAGCATTTTGAGGATCACTTAAATCCCTGGAAAACATTATACAGTTATTAGTATTTCATGGTAATGTCCAAATATAAAAATACAGGATGTAGGTACTATTGGACACCTCAGCAATGGAGTCATCGATGAGATTAGAAGGACATCTCCAGTTCGGGTTAGAATGCAATTGATATGAACAGGTATTAATTCCTAACAAATCTGAACATTGTTGTCAAATTTGTAATTACTGTTGACAAATGCACTGTACATATGCACTGAAAGATACAAACATTGCAAGTTTTCACAGTAATGTAAAGAGAGGTTTCATGGCACCACAAAATCTGAACTTACCCAGCGTTCTCATTAGTTCACGCAGTTCAAACGCGTCCATATAACCGGATTGGTTACGATCGAACTTTTTGAAAATACTCTGGAAAGAATTGAATAGTTCAAAGTAAGTTGGACGAGAAATTATCTTAGTAACACCTTTTAGCCACCATTGATATTTTTCTGCGGTTCCTGATTGAAATGTGCCCAGATGTTTTGGTCAGAATGTTTAATTTATTCCATAGAATTCACGAAATAGACTCAGCATGTTACTTGCCGATATTAGGTTACAGATAAAACAGTTTCGTCCTTGCCTGCATCCCCAGCAATGCATACATACCGGATCAGTTTTGATTCGAACCCCAACATACCAGGAGCTGCACTAACCAACATCAACTTGCTCGACTTCAGTGTTAAATAATAGAGCAATCATATCTCAATATCACCCGTTCCCTCAAGTGTTTCATAGCCCTGATATATCACTACACCTGAACCTAACCACTTGATCTGGTGTCGCGTACTATTTCTGATGACATAACTCATCACAATGTTGATTTCCGTCCGCAGTTGGGCACTATTCATCCATGTTAACTCATTTATTTTGCCCACGGATTTTAATTCGGGAGGGAAATTTCACCAAAGTCTGGAACTACTGATGCATGCGGAACCTGATAGAAAGCTTTGTGCTGTCCTAGAACACTCATAACTGAATTCAGGATAGTGCTGCTGATTTCTTCACCTCATCTGCTCCGAATTACGGTGTCACACGTGCATGGATCTGGAGCTAATGTGGAATAACTGTATTGTATTGTATTGTATTCAAACATTTCGAAGCCAAGTTACGCAACGTCAACAGTGCGACTTCGGGAAGCGTCAGTCGGCAATGTAACTGGAATTATACCGGTGCATCAGGAAATGTTGTGCATGAAATGGTCAGATTCTCAAATGGTCCGAGTTGAAATCTATGTTTCAATACTACAGAGACAACCAGCTGTTAAGACAGATCAGGGGCGTAGAATTCTGCGTAGCTAGGACCCAGCACAAGCGCATATGCACAGTTTCTCTTCTATCCGTGCGGACGCTCGTGTTTCTATGCCCCGATTGCAATGCAGCTCGCAATGCGATGTTCTGGAGAAAGCCTGGTTGACGTGGTGGGCAAAGACAATCAATACTGGACGGAAGTAACGGTTACAGAACGACACACCCGTTCCCTTTAGATTAGGGGCTAGAACTTGTAACCGAGTTTCGCGACAGTGCTCTAAGCTCATGCGCATCAATGCATCTACAGGCGGCCAACGAAATGACCTTAACAATTGTATATGTTGATATCGTTACTCCAGCTCGCGGACAATTACGCACCAGCACCGAATACACAGATTGATGGTGTAGCTAAACTGTCCAGTGGGTTGGTCTGCCTGATTGGAGCACGAAGTAGGCCTTTAAAGCAGAGGGATTAGGCCTGGGGTTTTTGTTGGACTGCAATATTGCGCTTAGGTATTCGCAATACGACCAATGAATAGGCCTTTACGATCAGTGTGATTTGGACAACGAAAATGCTACTGGCAGCTGATTGCGTGAAGGAAACCCCGATGTACAGGGTGACTGCTTCATCGTAGTCGAGCGTCTCGTCCCTCTCAACCGTGACCTTATACAAGTAAATTCCCTCTGACCCCTGACGCGATCTGATTGGATCATATTCCGCGAGCTGCGACGCCTAAAGTCTCTCACCCTAAACGAGACTGTCTGATTACCGGCTTGTACTTTTTGTAATGCTCCTGTTGTTAAGTTCATTCCATCCGAGTGTTGATGACATTCCTGACACACAGTCGTAGGTAGAGACGTTCACGTGTGTAGGCCATAAAGGTGAGATCTTTTTGTCTTCAATTGTTGACCGATTTAGCTCTATAGACGAGAATGACGGGACATTAGGACAACTGACCTCGATCAAGAAGGTTAAAATGCGAGTCGCGATATGAGTACTCGATACACAGTTTACCATGATCATGAGTGCGAGTGGACATGAAGCGGTCTGATAAGTTGTTGTGGCCTAGGTCCTGAAAATGGTGGTACGCGAAATTCAACAGTGGCCATGATTATCTCGAATTTAAACACTTGTCTTGTTTATAATGTAAATTTTTAAGCATTGAAAGGGAGATTTAACGAGAAGTTCAACACTGAATCTGAAATACAGACCGAGGAATAACAGCGTTTGCGATAAAACTGAATCCAAATCCAATTATACACCAAACACTAAAAATAGCTTTTCTTTCCGAGATTCTCTACTGAATTCTGTTTACAAAGCGGATGGTAATCCACTGATAATCAGTTAGCAATTTTAATTACTTTGCTGCATATCGTACCAAATAGTATAGTGGTGTCGCCTGAAGCGAAACCGGGATTCATGCGATAAAATGCAGTAGGTTTTGGAAAATTTCACTGCAAACTAATGAATGATGCTTGCTTGTTATCTGATAGAAAGGCTACACGGTTATCTTACTTTCAATACATCATCAGAAGTCTCTTCGAAGGGATGACCAGTGAGAAAAAAGAACTGCCCAAGAAAGCGCTTACCCAGTGTGGCTCACAGTGGGAGTTGCATCGAATTGCTCGATGTGACTGACCAATCACTGGCCAGATAAAGTAAAGAAATACAATGACACGCCTGTCAGAACACAAGTGAATGTACTCTGGATGATTAAAACACACGCACTTCACGTCAAGACTGTCAGAGCTGAAAGGTCAGTAAAACAGTATTCGATAACATCTTTAAATTCGTTGTAAGACCTTCTTTCTCAGGGCAAGACGGATGCAGTGGTAGCAGTATTGTGGGCTGCTACTCACACTTGTGAATAGTGTATTTTATGTGCGCCTTAGGAGGTGGTTGGTGAATTCTCATGACATCTGGGAGCGGATTGAAGGATTTAATATTGTTTCTATAGAAGAGGCAGAGAGAATACCAAACTGTTTAACTACTACTTAAGACCTTTTCATGAAACCAAAAACTAATTGTTACAGTTAAATGTCTCATTCTACATAATACCCAATACCCCCAATACTGGTTCTTGTTCCTAATATGAACTATCCTCAGTCCGACACTGGTTTTGTGGATTTATAACAATACTAGTTGAAAACTCACCTTCCATATTCGCAGGTCCATCCATAGCTTTTTAAATTGATCGAAAGTTAGATAGCCGGTCAGATCAGTCTAGAAGAGGTTGAATAGTTACTAGTTAAGGTTTGCACGTGGCACAATGAGTTTTTTCTCAGAATCCATAATATATATAAGCTACTACTTCAACTTTGTTTTCGGTGACACAAATAACGGTAACATATCACGAAAGGTGCTTTACAATTGTTGTACTATACAAATGCAATTTGTACCTCCGTTGAAGATGGTACAGAGGATGGCTCCGCTTAAATTCGAGAAAACAGATTGGAGTGAATGAAAGCGGTTTGGGTGCATTCCGTATACCGATTAGAGCAACTTAGCAGACAGGGCTCTAAATAATGGGGAACGAATTGAGAAATCAGTTGCCGTCAGTAATGTAGCGGATAAAATTATGACTTAGCCTACCGAGGTGATACGATGCCGTACACAGTAGGAAAATGATCGTTGTTGATGTTACAGATAGACAGAATCACACGATTCCCAAACGTGTAATAAAAGATCACAAGAAACAGTTGGCTAGAAAAATACCCTCGAAAATGCCCAACACAAAATCAAACTACGCTTGCGGAGACACGAGCCTCATGTAGGCATTAGAACCCAGCTGACTATCGTATTTCAAAAGGATACGTCCATCAGGGCCACCATACTTCGGGCAGTTTCTTGACTGAATCCATCGAAAGAGAAATCTAAAATTCAAGAAACAAATGACATAAGAAACAAGTAAGGAACAGAAACCAGTTTGTTAAAATTAAAACCAATTTAGCACCCGCGGTGTGTGGCAATCGGTTTCTATTCGTAGGCACGAAGGCAAGCAGTTCTATATTGCAACGTCATTCTCATCGCAGTTTCATTATTTGTATTTGAAAACTCTTTTATGGAAAACCCTAACGGTACGGAGTGCCAATAAGTTTGAAGTAATCCCGTTTCAAAGGCCGGCGACTGCGACAGCGTTCATTAAATTTGGCTGGAAATAGCAACAAAATCATAAACGAATTTTCCATAGCTTTCTTTGATATCTGTGATTTGCTATCGGGCAACTGGTGCTAGGCGCTCTCTCGCTTCCTCTCTTTCTCGGAGTCTCGATTTCCGGATAGTGTTGTACTAAATGCTTCCACCAGGTGATCTCACACGGTGACTGCGTTTACATTTTCATCTAAAATGTGAAGAAATCGAACAAAATCGTACCGGAACCAATTTTTAGGTGCAGTCAACAACACATGTCCAAATCAATCAGGTGATACTGAACACACGTAACTGGAAACACCAACAGTCACCAGTGAATGACGTTCGACAAGGTTCCCTCTTTATTTTCACGACAAATTTCAGTGAAACTCCACGGAATTTGTAACGGACAGATAACAACGATGATATAAAACCGATCGGATTACAATCAAATTGATAGGAAAGTGACAATGTCCGAACGCATTTGACATGAACTAACCATCAGGTAAATCATTACATATCTTTTTAACTTCAAATGAATCCGTTGTAACTTCAAGTGAATCCAACTAATCGCGCTCCATTGGAAATCCCACAATGTTATTGGTGTTTCGGCCGTCATATGTCACCGATGGGACCGGGTCTGTGTAAACCCCGTCCAATCCGAGTGAATGAACTTCTCCGTAAACAAACAAAAGTACCTTTTTGAGTGAGTTACCGAGCGAAGTCGAATGTTTCGGTGGGTTGAGGTGGGCCGTT